GACCTGATCTACTTATCAAGGTTTATGGCAGTATCTGAATACACTTTCTAGGTAAATATATTTCTTTCTACTTAAAGGAAAATGAATTTTAAAACTTGATTCAATCCAACAAATATTTAGCGCACGTCTACTCCATACTAGGCTCTATAGTCATAAAAATAAATAAGCCAAGATCCTTGTCCTTCCCCACTCAGTAAGTCCACGGTGGCAGGGAAGCTGGACAGGCAGCAATGGTATACACAACACCTATGTGAACAACTCTAAAACAATGTGGAAATTACTGCAGTAATAATAGTTTGAACAGTATTATGTAAACGTAGAGGGAATTATTATTCTGCTTGGATCCATCTCCTGAACCTCAAACTAATACATCCAACTGTTCACTTGACATACCTATGTGGACGTCTAATTGGCATCTCAGATTTGCCTAAAATCAAGTTGCCAACAACCCCCCATATTGGATCCACTTGTTTTATCCAACTTAGAGAATGATTACACCACTTTTCTAGCTGTTCAGGTCAAAACTTTAAGTCACCCTTAACTTTTTTTTCTTACACTCCTCACCCAATTCATCAAAAAATCTTGTCAGCTCTATATACCTTTTAGAATACATCCAAAATGTGACCAATTTTCAACATTACTACTACCATTCTAGTATAAAGCAATGCTATAATCACTTCTCAGGGAGCAATAGGTTCCTTAAAGGACTTGCTGCCCTTCATTCAATTTGTTCTGTTAAAATGCAAGGTAAGTTCATAGCACTTCTTAAACCCAACCATGGCTTCACATTTCACCCTGGGCAACAGAGTAAAACCTCCGTCTTAAAGTAAGAGAGAGAGTGTGTGTGTGAGTGTGTGTGTGTGTGTGTGTGTGTGTGTGTGTGTGATGAATCTTCTCAGATATAATGAACCTTCCCAGAGTGAGAGTGTGTGTGTGTGTGTGTGTGTCTGTAATGAATCTTCTCAGCTATAATGAACTTTCCCAGAAAACTATATAAGACAAAATTTTGCACACCATTTCGAGACTATCATGGTGTGATAAAAACTTATTCATGAAGCTTCATGTAAACAAACATGAAATATCCAAAGGATAGAGAACAGAACAAAAAATTGACACAAATGCCTAGCTGAAACAAAAGATTGGGAATGCCAAGGTGTGAAAGTTGGATTTTTGAATAGTGTTTTCTGGTTTCTTTTGTTTTCTCTTGATCAGATTCCTGGATTACCCACACTCACAACCAGAGACCTGTTTAAATTTAACCTGAACCTTAATTTCAGAGTCTTGTGAAAGTTCAGAGCTTTTCCTATTGAGTCTCAGAGCATCTTTCCTCACATTTCTGTTTCCAGACACTGGAATCCAAACCTAATTGTCTCACCAGTTTCTACCAAGAAAATAAATAAATAAAAATCAACTCCCGAATCAATTTTACTAGAGAAAACTTCTAAGAATTTGGTGAGTAAAGAGAGAGTCATGTCATGAAATGTGGCATTCTGCCATCCTGCTGGCTCTACTACCACTTATCTCAAGCTTGTCCAACCTGCGGTCCATGGGTCACATGCAGCCCAAGATGGCTTTCAATGTGGCCCAACACAAATTTGTAAACTTTCCTAAAACATTATGAGACTTTTTTTGTAAATTTTTTTTAAAGTTCATCAGCTATTATTAATGTATTTTATGTGTTGCCCAAGACAATTCTTCCAACATGGCCCAGGGAAGCCAAAAGATTGAACACTCCGATTTATCTCTTTCTATTTCTTGCTTCCTTTCTCTGGTCCTAAGACAACAATTTTTCTTATTGTTACAAAAATAGTTCCTTCTACAATCAGGTCTCTGTATTTTAATTTGTACTCCAAAGCACCTTCACAAATAAATACAGTTCTCTTCCTAAAAAGAATGATATTGAGTAAAATTTTCTCAAACTTACAATAAATATTAAGTAGAAATTTTTAATAATATATTTTAAATAAGAAAAATTTAAATCACTGGTAGAATTGCATCACCAGACATAAATGTCAATATTTTGGTATGTGTCCTTCTAGTCATCCCTTCTACAGTGAATGATAAATTCAAAAGGAATCAACACTTCTATCCCTATTTCTCTGCCAAGATATCAAAATGTGTACAAAAGGTTTCAGATAGCTCTTCTTTGAAACATATTTTTGAATGTAAAAAGCACGCACAAGAAAAAATAGAAGACGAATTCCATCTCCAAATGTCTTACATGCCATCTCTATTACTCAAAGCAAGGATCACCTGAATCTGGTAAAATCCTTTCGACTTCAATGTTCACATGTAGATAGTACTGTTTTCACACTATACGTGGCAATGGTAACATACTGAAAAGCATGATAACTTGAGTAATGGACAACTGTATATTAAATGCCCACCCATGATTCCTTTTAAAAGCTGAAAAATCTAGTTCTGTCATCAACCATGGGCCTAAATAAAGTTTCACCAAGAATTCATAACGATTAAAAGAAAACACTCCAAACGGGAGCAAAATGGCTCTAACTAAAAAATTCCTCTACTAACAGGATGATTCTCTAGATTTTCTATGGTAGAAATATTGCTTAAAAGTGTATTTCCAAAGTACATCTGTAACTTTCTACAAACCAGTGTCAATACTGAAATGGGGATATAGGTTGAATTTTCTTTATACCCCTTTGCTAACCTATAATAAATCTTTAGAAGCTATCAAAAAGAGATTACTCCTTTAAAGGTCCCATCTGGAGTAAAATTCTGTGACTGTAGTAGTCATTGTCGGTACGCTTTCTTATAATTTCTAAAGTAAATCTAGTAGTTACTCAAATAACATTCTCCTCTCCGAGGTGTTTTTTTGTTTTGTTTTGTTTTGTTTTTTGAGACAGGGTCTTGCTTTGTTGCCAGGCTGGTGTGCAGTGGTGTGATGATGGCTCACTGTAGCCTCCAACTCCTGGGCTCAAGCAATCCTTCTGACTCAGCCTTTTGAGTAGCTGGGACTACAAGCATACACCACCACACCCAGCTAACTTTTTTATTTCTTGTAGAGATGGGGTCCCACTATGTTGCCCAGGCTCATCCTGAAGTTTTGGGATCAAGTGATCCTCCTGCTTTGGCTTCCCAAAGTGCTGCAATTATAGGCATGAGACATCACTGCACCTAGTTGAAATATTTTTTTTAAAGGGAATAGGGGTAAGGACCTGCCCATCAAGAGTTTGCTGAAATCCTACCCCTAATGTATAAAACAAAAATATTATAGAAAAATATCTAGGCCTTTATCATGTTATTATAAGTATTTCAAGGATCTCTGACCTGAAAAGTTAGATTTTAATTCTCAATGACTTGCTCACACTAAGTTCTGTCATGACATTTGCCTACTATTTGAATAACTGTTTTCAAATTTCATGGATTATAAAAACAGGAAAATTTTTTGTCTTTCTTACACATGTACTTTACCTATGGTTTTACACATATGGTTCATCTGTCATAATGATTAACGCAGTAAGCACCATGAAAATTCCTTCTGCCCTGCACAGATAAGGTAAGCTTTAAATGTTAAAGTGAACCATATTACTTCTATATTTAAGGAAAGTGCATTTTGCTTTAAAAGGTAAAGGCTCTTTTCAAATCAACATAGATTTAGTATATTATTATAGAATACTATAAGCAAATTTCTTTGAAAGGATGGGTCGGGCGTGGAAGCTCACGCCTGTAATACAGGTACTTTGGGAGGCCACAGCAGGCAGACTGCCTGAGCCTAGGAGTTCAAGACCAACCTGGGCAACATGACAAAACCGTGTCTCTATTTTAAAAAAAGGTATGGGGGTGCATTCAATAACATTTTCCTTGTAGTACTGATAGAGAAAAAGAAACGCATTACAAATTCTACTCTATGTTTAAAAAAGGAGAAAAACTACTGCAGATAATCTAAACATAAACTCTCATGTCTATATTCATAAATTAATTTTTTGGATAAAAAAATTTGTATATAAATCTGGCTCTTTAGCAAATAAGCATATGAATATTTATCATACTCAGGCAGAAACAAGATGCCTAAAACTCTATAGCTGATTCAAATCTATTTCTGTACGGAAATTAGGAGAGAGGGACCAAGATTAAGAAAGCAAATTCCTGTATCTTAAAATGAACCTTTTCCAAAGAGACCCTAACAACACTCTTCAAATCAGTTCAGAGGTTATTATAAAAACTTAGCTCTTAATTTTAAACAAAAAATTATAATTTCTCTTATAAAATTATGAAAATAAATTCAAGAAGATTTAGTAACTACATTGTAACCATTTTTATTCTTATTTTAGAATATGAGTTTTCAGAGCAATTATTTTTATTCCTGAAGCACTATGAGTCAGCATAACACACAGTAAAATTGAGCATTCATTACTCTAGGAAAGAGTGGAATTCTATGCAGTAAAGTTTTCTAAAATCCGATAATAAAATATAACTCATGCTAGAGTCTTGGTATTATTTACTTTTTAAGCTGCTAATCTGAGACCTATTATAATGTTGGCATTAACCTCTAAATATTATAGTATTTAAGTTTTCCTAGGCTGTAGAAACTTAAGAAGAATGTTTGCTACCAAGCTTCAGAACAAAATTTAAAAGGCAGCAAAAAACCAACAATAACAACTAAAACAACTAAATTATTTACAGGCTTGTGAACAGTTTTTAGCAATTAATGGACCTATCAACACTTAGCTGCCTAATTTTAGGAGTTGAAAATATATCTTAGTTCTCTTTTATTCCAGTAACTCTATATTCTCTATTACAATATAAGTGCAACAAAAATCCGGAAATATGCCAGTTTTCCATGAAAATACAACACATGTAAGCTAAACACACACACAAGTGTGTATACAGACACACATAAAAGGCCGCATGTTACACTTTTTTAGGCAATCTAATTTCATTTGTGTAATAGCTCCCCTTTCCTTACCTGCCACTGCCTGGTTTAGATGATACTGTAGCCAATGAAGATTTTGCTTTCTGTTTCAAGTGCTACTCACCTGTTTGAACATCAATAACCATCTGATGGCCTCCTCTCATTCCTGGTCGGTTATCTTCTCCATCACCTTTAGTAGAAATAATAGTTTATTTAAAGGAATAACAAAGAACAGCAGCATACTCAGAGAAAAGTTATTCATAAGTCTGTAATCAGTAGTAAAAATAACCCATATTTATTCTTTCAAAATATTAAGTAAATGGACTCATAAAAGTAACAGTATGACTCAAATCTGTGTTTATAATAATAATCTTGTTTTTTCCGAATGCTTTCAGGATATTAATGAACTTGGAAGTTATTTTCTATTTATTTATGATCAATGCCACAAATCAGCAAAGACATAGAATATCACACAAAAACAAAAATCTCTAAACTACTTGAGTGCCAAAGTGAAGGTTTAAAAACAATTACAAAATTAGATCTCCTGTATATATTCTAGGCATAGTTCATTAGTATAAGGAGCAGTTTTAAAGATCATAAAACTAGTTCCTGAAAACAAAGATGTTATCAAGTTTTATATTAATATTAATTTTGTATTATGTATACAATTATTTTGTATAACTTTTGTACTTTGTATAATTATTTTATATAACTTTGTATAATGTATAATTTTGTGCCAATATTTCAGCAATAAGTTCCCACCTAATTTACCAACTATTTTATGTAAGTACTGACTGAGGAAATCTAAGATTTACTTCACTTTGATTCTTAATCAAAGGCAGGTTAATAGGCAGGTTTCAATATAATCAATAAAACTTTTTAAATTTTCAAAGGAGAACACTATTGTTCAACTCGTAGTTAATCTTACTTTACACCAAATCTTACACAAATAACCTGATGGCTGGGTGCGGTGGCTCACGCCTGTAATCCCAGCACTGTGGGAGGCCAAGTAGGTGGATCACCTGAGCTCAGGAGTTTGAGACCAGCCTGGCCAACATGGTGAAACCGCATCTCTACTAAAAATACAAAAAATTAGCTGGGTATGGTGGTGGGAGCCTGTAATACCAGCTACTCAGGAGGCTGAGGCAGGAGAATAGCTTGGACATGGGAGACGGAGGTTGCAGTGAGTCGAGGTCACGCCACTACACTTCAGCCTGGGCAATGAAAGCGAGACTCTGACACCCTGCCCCTCCAAAAAGGTTATAACTTCGGTTTCAGTAGTTCAAAGATTATAAGATTTGAATGTCTTACTTGGTGTGAGCCAGAAAGCCTAAGGTTTTCTTCATAACTCTTCTATTAAGTGAAATACATTACTCTGGCTAATAAGTTTCCCTGTATTGGCTTTCTCCAAATGTAAAATTGAAAATATCTTATTTTATACTAATTTCACAAAGGTGCTATAAAATGACTGAAATGCCAGTTCTTACATACAGAAAATAAGATACAAAACTGAAGCTTTTCATTACTACTGTAGTCAACGGCTAATCATTCAGAAGTTCCCTGAAAATCCTGTCTCCTAACAGTTAAGCCCTTAGATCATGCAATTTATTATCATTGAAGCTTTGTCTTTTTCTTCTTTCCTTCCCCCATCAGTCAGTATTGCCGATTTTAAGAATAGATTTTAAAAAGCATATTCATCCCTTAGAGGTCTGAGGGAAAAAAGCAAGCACTCAAATGAATTCATTTTCAGTATGTTTGCATTTTACGTATTGAATCCATTAGTTTGCAAATACACAATTACAGTCTGTTTGCTATAATATGTGTGTCTCTGAAGAAAATTATCTCATACATGACTGATTAAATAGGAGAATGATGTTCATGTGACATCAATTATGGAGGTTCTTAAGCAATTTTCCCCTGCATATTAATGTGTAACACTATCAGGAGAAAGCTTTCTCACAACTAAAGAAAAGTCCTTAGCAATATATGAAGACCACAATGAAAAAAGCTCAGTATCCATAGAATTGCCTTCCTTTAATGTAAATAGCTGCATTAAGAAATTGCTACGCTTTCCACTATGTTAACTATCTGGCAAAGCAGTTAGTACAGATGGAAGAAGTGACAAAAACTTCCCCCATATATGAAAATAATGGATTCATGAAGAAGACTATACTCTGGATCAGATTTCAAGTTTTGATGAAAACAGTCTTTATTAGAAGTGAATGCCCTCTAGGATCTACATTTCAAAGATGAAGGCATGAGCCCACAGCATAAGTCTCTAAACACACTATGATGTTCGATATAAATACCTTTAAAGATTTAAATGTACTGATATTTATTTTTATTACAATTATTACACTAGTTTTTTTTGAGACAGAATCTTGCTCTGTCACAAGGCCCCAGGCTGGAGTGCAGTGGCGCAATCTTGGCTCAGTGCTATCTCCACCTCCTAGGTTCAAGCAATTCTCCTGCCTCAGCCTCCCGAGTAGCTGGGACTACAGGCACATGCCACCACGCCCAGTTAATTTTTGTATTTTTTAGTAGAGATGGGGTTTCACCATGTCTCAATCTCTTGACCTCGTGATCCACCCACCTCGGCCTCCCAAAATGCTGGGATTACAGGCGTGAACCACTGAGCCCGGCCAATTACACTAGTTTCTATTAGTACCTGGTTATAAAGTTCACCGGATTTGGAATGGTCTTCAGTCTTTCTATTTATCTCCTATTCCCCGCTAGGTTTAGCAAACAATTTTGCAGAATTTAAGGTTTTCAGGAACACGCATATGGCATTACAACACGGCCTACAATTTTACACAGTACCTCTATCAAAGCAGTTTATAATGATACTCTGTGTAAAAACTGCCCAACCTTCTATTATGGCAGTAAAACAAAAAGGTTTAAAAAGATAATTTTAATATAATAAATGAATTTTGCCACCTAGTTAAGGAATGTATGTCTTGCTTTAAACATTTCATTTGCTTTTTATTTATTTTGTTGTGGTTTTTTTTTTTTTTTTTTTTTTTTTTTTTTTTTTTTTTTTTTTTTTTTTTTTTTTTTTTTTTTTTTTAGACAGAGTATCACTCTGTTGCCCAGGTTGAAGTGCAGTGGTATGAACACAGCTCACTGCAGCCTCAACCTCCCAGGCTCAAGCTACCCTTCCACCTCAGTACCGTAAGCAGCTGGGACCACAAGTGCCTGCCAATATGTCAGGCGGGTGTGTGTGTGTGTGTGTGTGTGTTCAGATGGGAGTCTCGCTCTGTCTCCTAGAGAGTGCAGTGGTGCAATCTTGGCTCACAGGTTCAAGCAATTCTCCTACCTCAGCCTCCCAAGTAGCTGGGATTACAGGCATGCGCCACCACACCCAGCTGGTTTTTGAATTTTTAGTAAAGACAGGGTTTCACCATGTTGGCCATGCTGGTCCTGAACTCCTGACTTCAGGTGACCTACCCACCTTGGCCTCCCACAGTGCTGGGATTACAGGTATGAGCCACCACGTCCAGCTGTCTAGCTGATTCTATGTAGAGATAGGGTCTCACTATGTTGTCCAGGCTGACCTCAAACCCCTGGGCTCAAGCAATCTTCCTGCCTCAGCCTTCAAAATACTGGGATTTCAGGCATGAGCCACTGCACCTGGCCAAAATCTTTTTTATTAACAGAGTGCTATGACACTTGAACTACCTTGGGAAAACCGAAGACTGAGACATTAAAGAAAAAGAACTACAATCTAGAAGGTATGGCTTACCTTTGGTACTTTTGGGAATGATTTGACTCCATCGCGGCTTATATTCCTGTTGACTGATATATTGATTGAACAAGCCATCTGTAAATATTGAAGAATGAGAAAGAATTACACCTTAACTACTTACATTATTATAGAAAAAAATTAGAATTTAAAAGACTACTTTCAGAGAAATTACTAATATGTCACTAATATAAAAGCACATTTTCATAAAATATGCATAATTTCAGTTTTACTGTATGCTACCCCAAATATAAAGAGTCAAATATTGACTGACACAAACATGCAAACAAACTGCTTTTAGGGGAAGCTTATATTAAATGTATTATGTTTCCCATCATTATTGCATTGCACCTATTAGATACAAAGGCATTGCTGCATTCAATGGACAAGCATGTGACATTTCCAGAGGGTTAGAGACCTTAAAAGAAGGAGAAGGGAGTCAACTAGGAGGGGAAAAAAGGTTAAAAGACAATTTAAGGTTGTAAAATAGGTGCAGGAGAAAATAAAAATAAATAATTTGAATAAATGTTCTACTTCATTGAAAAAAGTTTTTGTGTATCTTTAAAAATCATTTCTAGTATTATAATAAGCGGGAAGAGGAAAGGATAACGATTAGGATAATTATATTTTAATTTCTTTTTGTGATCTCCTACCATTGTCTTTATTTCAACTATGAAATTCTTAATCTTTACATCCTGAATAACATGGCTTCATTGCAACCGAATCTCTTTCCCCCAACAGTGCTTTGTGCCAGTACTTTTTGTCACTCATATCCAAGAAAAATTGAGAAGAAAACAGACCTCCAACAATTTTGGTCTAGGCCCTTATGATATATTTTCAGGAAAAGGGAACACTAACATGTGAATTCCATTATTATACAGTTTTGAGTACAAAACTACATAGAGATAAAAGTACTAATAGTAGAAATAGAACTATACTTATGGAACACTTACCAAATGTTAGAATTTATGCTGTCTCATCTCATTTAATTCTAAAAACAATCATATGAACTACACATTATCATCTGCATTTTATAAATACAGAAATGTGTATTTAGAAAAATTAAGAAACTTAACCAAAATCATACAGCTCTTAAATGGTAGGGCTGGGACTACAGTTCTATCATGCCTTCCCTACTCTTGATTCTACTGTATCGACAAACTCTTAATCTACTTCTTAAGTTGTTACACTAGTTACTATAATGGTATGGAGACTGAATTCCCTATATACATCCCTACATATATACATAAATAATTATGAGGCCCTAGTCACATGGCCCTCAAAAAAGATTAGTTTAAGAACAGTATGGAACCCAATTTTGGCTAATGAAACATGAGGAATCTTCTGGGAGACTTCTAGGCAATTCCTCCTTACTTCTAAAGAGGCATTCAGAGAAGAAAAATCTACTTTTATTCCTCTGGAATATCTGCATGCAGTGTATACAAGTGTTAAAGCCAATTTGTCGAAGTACAAGAATGAAATTAATTCTATAACGATGACACAGCAGAGAGAAAGAAATGATCACTGTCAATCAACCATGAAATCCACCTTACCTCTGGACTTCTTGCTATGTGCTACAATAACATTTCCTTACTTTTTAAGCTAGAAGCCCTAGCTTTTACAAACACCCAAACAGATCATAATTTATAAAGTTGCTTTTACTATAAATTCTGTCATGTGACTCAATTTAAAAGTCAAACTGTTTTCTGTGATTTATATATTCACAGGAGGCCAAGCAGTTTAGAGCACTCTCCCTAATCTTTCTTTTCTGCGTAACTATGAAGCTCAGTTGTAACCAACCCTTTTAGCTTTCAAGACTTGTCAGCTGGCTTCACCCGGAAACCTCCATCCTACAGACACACACATCAAATTTCTTTTTTTCTTTGTCTTTGAGACTTCCCAGAATTCTTGCAAAAAATAAGTCAATAAATACTGTAAACATTAAAGCAAAGTAAAGGTTAAAAAAAATATTGCTTTTAGTACCTTGTTTTAATGTAAAAGAGCTTCCTACAACTTTCACAATCTAAAAACAAAATGTTGACACCTCTGCACCCCAAATAATCTCACCATGCTCCCTATTATTTCTAATTCTTGAAAACTCTTGCTAAGAAGGCCTTCTGCCTTGGTAGGCTTACTTTAGATATATAATTCAGCAAAAAACTCAGTCTCTCTATTGAAACAATAATGACATTCTCACCTATAAAAATGTAACAACATCTATTACAGTGTTTGAAAATTTCAGAAACAAATTATTAAGAAATTTAAAGATGCCTGTGAACCATGTGAGTTCAAAAAGTTATTTCTGTTTAAAGAAGTCAGGCGGTGCTAATATTTCTTTAAGTCTATTTTTGATAAAAATCTAAAGCAAGAGATCAAAACAGTTAGATAAAATTAAAACTATCCAAAAGAAGTTTAAATATCACTAGGAGAAAGCACATTAAGAAGTAGTTGTTAATAATTTTTAAGCTATTTAACTAGAATCTCCAGGTCCAGTGTCACTTCATTTTTTTTTCCTATAACTCTACTAAATACATTTCATACAGTCCTAACTGAGCACAAGCTGTTCTTTTCTCCAATAACAAAGGATACTTTCTTAAAAAAACACATGATGGCCCAGCCTGATGGCTGACAATTGTAATTCCAGCATTTTGGAAGGCTACGGCAGGAGGATCACTCAAGGCCAGGTGTTCAAAACCAACCTGGGCAACACAGAGACCCTGCCTATACACACATGCATGCACACACAAACAACATGATTTAAAAATGAGACTTAGAACGCTTTTAGCAAAAGGGAAAAAAAAAAGTTCACATTTTTTGCCCAGAATTAAAAACAAAACAAACAAAAAATATGCACATAGATTATAATACGGCTGCTTAGTTGTAGGTATTTATATTTGATAAACTCAAATTTTATCAAATTTGATATTTCACCAAAATAGAGATTACATATAAAAGAAATAATTTAAAATGCATTTATAGGTAAGTAACTTATAGAGCACAATCCTTTTTGACCATTCAAGAATAATGGTCAAAAAGAATTTTTAAGAAACCAATTTCATCAGTTTGTTTAAATTCTGAAAAAAAGAACAGTATTATACCAGTAATAATATAATAATTAATATTAAGACACTGAACCAATAAATATTTACTAAGACAGTAAAGCTTAGAGATAAAAAGTATGGATTTTGGCACCAAACTACCTGAATTCAAATCTTAGCCCTGTTACTTCCTAAATACATGGTCTTAAGCAAATTAATCATTCTGATATATGAAATAGAGATAACAATAATACTTACCCTAGAAGATAAGTATAAAAATTAAATAAATTCATGTAGTCAAAGGCCTAGGAGAATAGATGGCACATTGTCAAGCTCTCAGATATATGTTACTGATGATGATGATGATGATGATGATGATAATGATGTAGTGTTTGGAAATGTGCTTGGCAGAAAATTAACAATCTTTTATGTACAAAATGAGAAATATAGCACCAAGGTAAATAGGAGTTAAGAGGAGGAAGGAGTGATTCCGTGAGAATATAACAAAAGAAGATACTTTAGAAGAGCTGGCTTTGAAGAATGCACTGGAACTGAATTATATGAAAAGGAAAGTAACAGAAAAGAGAATATAGCATAAACAAAGGCACAAAGGCATAAATGAGCCAAAATTATGAAAACTAAACAATGTTTCAGAAAGAGGCAGTTGGGAAAGGTGAAAAAAGAGTGAGATTTTGTATTATAAGCACTGCTGAGAAGAAACAGAATCTTAAAAGGGAAAGAAGATATTATAAGGAAAACTCTTGCTATCCTGGAACACAGCTCTAGCTTCTAACTCACAAAAAGCTTCTAAAATTAGAAACAATGCACCACATTCAAAGATTAATAATGTTAAAAAGAATCAAGCCAGGAATTATACCATGATATAAAAAGGAAAAGAAAGAAATTTTTTAGAGTAGCAAATGAATCTGATTCAACAGAAAGATGTAGCCATATAGATGAAAGTAGCCAAATACCTTTCCACAAATAAAAAAAAGGAAGCAACTCTCTCTATAAAACATGAGCACTGATTACAGATATAAGCAGCTGGAAAGCAGAGATCTAAATAGTTGGAAAAGAAATGGTAAGACAACAAAGGATACAGAAACTGAATTGCCAGAGATAAACACAGGAATAAAAAAATTGAAAATATCAGAGAACTGAAGGTCAGAGTATAAGAAAGAGACATTAAAAACAATATAGTAGTAGAAATGAGATAGTTTAGAGAAGCTTAAAATATTAAACAGGAATATGCAGTTAAAAAAGATAAAGGAGAAAATAAAAGAAATTATAGACAGACAAAGGCAACATATATTTAACTGAAAGAAAACCAAAATAGACAATAGTTAACAGGGCTACTACACTGGAGTTTCAGACAGCCTTGTTAATGTAACTAAAAAAATAATCTAAAACAAATATAAAATATTTAAATGGCCAGAGGGAAAAAGATTATATTTAAAAAAACAGCAGTTGAAAGTGACAGCACATCTCTCAATAGCAACAATGGAAGCTGGTTAATAACAGTGGAATTACATTCAAAATGTATTTCAAGAAAATAAGTGCCAATCTGGAATTCTACATCTAGCAAAAATACCCTCCCAGAAAGGAGACAAAATTTTCAGGCCAGCAATTCTGACAGAGTGGAACTGCATTATAGAAGAAAGTCTAAAGGTGGGCTTATAGCACAGGAAATGAACATAATCCTAGATAGAAGATTAAAGATGCAAACGATAATAAAGAGAAAAAAATCAGTAAATAGTTGGGTAAAATTAATGAACAATTGCTATATAAAATAAGACTAATATTTTATAGGGTCTTTGAACATGGTATCAAAATAAATGACAACAATAGAGCAATTGACAACAGTAGAACAACAAATTAAAGGTGAGACTATCAAGCTGAAAGTCTACTAAATCCACACATGGGAAGAGAGAAAAGGCACTGATCAATTTTGTTAAGGCAATCATAAATACCTGTTGTAATTTCTAAACTCACCACAAGTCAAATGATTTATTAATAAAATAAAAATTTCTTCAAATAAGT